GCCAGAGGAGCCAACCATGTGATTAGAGGGTTGGAACTTTCAGTCTCCACTCCCCCATCTCCTAGGACGGAAGAGGGGCTGTGAGTTCAATTGCCAATGGCCAATGATTTATTCAATCATGTGATGTATAATAAAGCTCCATAAAAACCAAAAAGGACAGGGTTCAGAATGCTTCTGGGTTGGTAAACATGCGGCAATTTGGGTAGAATGGCACACTCAGAGCATGGAATTGCCTCACCCTCCTCATATACCTTGCCTATGCATCCCTTTCACCTGGCTAGTCCTGAGTTACATCCCTTTATAGTAAACCAGTGATCTAGTAAGTGCAATGTTTCTGAGTTCTGTGAGCTGTTCTGGCAAATGAACGGAACCCAAGATGGGGTTGTTGGAACCTCCAATCCATAGCTGGTAGGTCAGAGGCACAGGAAACGCCCTGGACTTGAGCCCTGGCATCTGAAGGTGATAAAGAAGACGGACAGTCTTGTAGGACGGAGCCCTTAACATGTAGGATCCCATGCTCTCTCCAGGGAGATAGTGTCAGAATTGAGTTGAATTGTAGGACACCATGCTGGTTTCTGAAGATTGCTTGGTGGTATAGAAAAACCCCCTGCCCTCAACTCACATTAGAAATCGGGTGCAGAATTGATAGTTTTACCCTGACTTGAGGTCAGGTTTTTCATTGTCATCTTCACCTTCCAGATTTTTTTTTTAAGACATTTTATTGGGGAACAGTATGTTTTTCCAGGACCCATCAGCTCCAAGTCAAGTAGTTGTTTCAATCTAGTTGTGGAGGGTGCAGCTCAGGTTCCAAGTCCAGTTGCTGTTTTCACTCTAGTTGTGTGTGTGGTGGGGGGGAGGTAAGGGCTTTGCCCTTAACCTTTAGCAACACTCTCTCCTATGAATAGATTCTAAACCTTAAAAACTAGACCTCCTCCATTCCAATGGGCATTTCTTACACTATTCCATGTGGATCCCCTCCTTCCAGCGATACCCTTCTTTTTCACCCTTTGAGATTGGGCAGTGTGCTCAATCTTGCTTAGCTTCAGATGTGTGTTGGGGGCTAGGAACATCCTGTGGGCTCTTCTTTGGGTCTCTTGTCTGTTCCCACCCAGGGACCTCTCCTGGGAAGGAGGTGGCAGATCAAATAGATCACTGATTCTTAAACTTGGCTGTACATTGGAATTATGTAAAGTGCTTTAAAAAATACTAATGCCCAAGTTCCACCTTCAAGAGCCTGATTTAATTGGTTTATTTCTGTCTTAGTCAGTTTGAGTTGCTACAACAGAATATCATAGACCAGGTGGCTTATAAAGAACAGAAATGTATTTCTCATGGTCCTGGAGGCTGGGAGATCCAAGATCAAGGTGTCAGCAGATTCGGTGTCTGGTAAGAACCTGATTCCTGGTTTATAAACAGCCACCTCCTTGCTGTGTCCTCACATGGCAGAAGGTGTGAGAGAACTCTCTGGTACCTCTTTTATAAGGACACTAATCCCATTTATTAGGATTCCACCACCAGACCTAATCCTGTCTCAAAGTCCCCACCTGCAAATACCATCACATTGGGGATTGGGTTTCAGCTTATGAATTTGACGGCAAAGGGACACAGACATTCAGTCTCCAGCGGTTATAGTGGGCTGAATGGTTGCTCCCAAAAAAGTGTGTTCACTTTCCAGAATCTGTGAATGTAACCTTATTTGGAGAAAGGGTCTCTGCAGGTATAATTAAGTTAAAGATCTTGAGAAGAGACTATTCTGGTTTGTTCCAGGGGGCTCTAAATCCAAGGACAAGTGTCCTTAGAAGACACACTCAGAGGAGAGACACATGGAGAAGAGAAGGCCACGTGAAGATGGAGGCAGAGATGGTAGCTATGCAGCCACCAGAAGCTGAGGAGATGGGAAGGGTTCTCCCCTGGAGCCTTCAGAGGAAGTGTGGCCCTGCTGGCACCCTGATTCCAAACTTCTAGGCTCCAGACTGTGAGAGGATAGATTTCTGTTTTTTAAGCCACAGGCTTGTGGTGGTCATTTGTTGTACAGTCACGAGAAACTAGTATGGTTGGGGTGTGGCCCGGGCGTTGTATGTTTTTAAGGCTCCCTGGGTGATTCTAATGTGCAACCAGGGAAGGGAGCCACTGGAATAGGGCATTTCAGAAGTTTCTCCCCTGGCAGTTCTCCTCAGCTCAGGGCTTCAATAGTTTTTGCAATATCATGATTTCTTAATTGTATTTTTATTATCTTTTAGCAGAGTAAATATTTAATGCACTATGGGAGCAGGCAAGATATATAAATTTTACGGTAAGGAAATAAAAAAGCTTTATGCAAACCCCGACACCCAGGATTTTTCCTCTAAGGCTGTTTGGGCTGTAACTGCAGCATTGTGTACTATTGTTTTTATCTGGTTCTGAGTTATCCCGTCCTCCTTTCCTCTCCTGCTTTCTTGTCTCCCTCCTGCTGCCTCTTTCGGGGCACTGTAGGCCAGGCCTCATCAGCACCTCTAGAAAGATAGGCCTGAGGAAGGAAACGGGACCATGCCAGGGGCACACCTGTGGCTGCTCTGTCTGCCAGGCAGAGGAAAGGTTGAGCGGGTGAGCAGGAGATGGCTACCGGGAGGTTTCTGGTGTTTTGCCCTGTCTCTGTATTGCTGGATAAGGCTATACTGTTGCTAATGTACAGTCCCCTTTTGATAGAAGCCTTGAGGACGAAGACGCTAGGGGGTGTTAGGGGCTATCTGTACTCCGGTAAAGAGAACCTGTTATACTTTTAAGGGAGTGGGGAGTAATTGAACTGAGATTTTGAGAGTTTCCAGGCGGCTGGGATTCAACACAAGTCTGATAGTTTCCTCTTCTATTTTTTTTTTTATAAATCTGATAGTTTCTGAAGCTTATGATTTCTCCACCATACTCTACCTCTTTAGAAATATATATATTAATACCAATATATTAGTATAAATATATAAATATATATTATATGTAATATATATTATAAATATTATAATATGCAAATATTATATTTATAATATATTATAAATATTATAATATGCAAATATTATATATAACATATATATAGTGTGATACATGCTACAACTTGGATGACCCTCAAAAACATGTGAAGTGAAAGAGGCCAGACACAAAAGGCCACATAGTATATGATTCCATTTATAGAGTGTCCAGAAAAGGCAAACCTATAGAGGCAGAAAGTAGATTAGTGGTAGCCTGGGGTTGGAGGTGGGAAAGGGGACTAACAATGAATGGGCAGGAGGGATGGTTTTGGGGTGATGGAATTGTTCTAACAGATGAAAATGTGATGATTGCACAACTTGGTACATTTACTAAAAATCATGCAAGTATACACTTAAAATTATTTTATGGAATGTAAATTATACCTCCGTAAGCTTGTTTAAAAATATGTGTATATAAAGTATCTAATTTAACCCTGTTACTATTAGAGTGCATGGTAAATCTTTAATCTGTAGTTTAGCACACCCGTGACAAAGCCTCCTTCCCTCTGAAGAGGTTGGGCACCTGTCTAACCTTGTGAAGTCAAAAAGGAAACATCTACTAGACTAGCCTGAGGCCCACTTAACCTAGTTTTGCTCACTAGGTCTTCAGGTTAGTCCAGGGCGTTTCTCCTGGCAGATAGCTTGGAAAAGTGACACTGGTTTCCTCTCCTGTCAGTACTGTACTGGGATACGTACACAGGGTTTATTATTATCATCCAGAGGAAGATCATTATAACCATATTATTACTATAGACTCTAAGCAGGGTCTTGGTTTTAAGTCCGGTATCGGTCAGGATGGACTTGGTTATGCTGCAGTACCAACCGACATCCAAATCTCAGGCGGTTTAAGAAAACAAATGTTTATTGCACACTCACACAACATGACTTCAAGGGTCGGTAGGGAGCTCTGCTCCATGTCGTCCTTACTCAGGAACTCAGGCTGACAAAAGCTCTGCTACCTAACAACATTGTCAGTACTAGGACAGGAGGAAGGGATGATGGAGAACTACATGCTGGCTCTTCAATGCTTCTACCCAAAAGTCACAGCATCTTTTCCACTCAGGTCTTCTTGCACAAAGCAAGTCACATGATATCATTTAACTTCAAAGGAGCAGAGAAGTGCAATTCTCCCTCTGGCTGGGAAATAGAGGGGAACAGGAAGTGGGTGGGCAATAGTCACGTCTGCCATACTCACCTTCACCAGAAGAAGCAGAATAGTGATAAGGATTCACAGGCTGCCCTCTGCTGGGTGAAAAACCTTCCCGTTTTTTCCTGGGACTGAGGTTTTCCTCAGGATGTGGCACTTTCAGGGCTAAAGCTGGGAGAGTTGTGGGCCAATTGAGATGGTTGGTCACCCTTGCTGGGTTCTGCCTATGGTTACTTCTTTTAGAAAAGCTGCCCCAAACTCTTTTCAGCCTTTTAATTAAAAATTGAGGTTACTACAGAGACTGCCTGAAGCGTTCTCAGTAGACCCTGACTCTGAGAGGGAATTAGAGCACTTGTCTCCCCTGGCAGGGCCTGGAAACTTCCCTCACAGCTTTCACCACTTGCATCACAGCTTTCACCACTTGCATGAGGTTTTGGTTGGTGAGAGGCCACCTCAGCCACCTCATGATAGGAAAGGTCACACTGTGAATGGGGGCAGAGGGGGATCTTTGAACTGTTACAGGAGTCTAGGTTCTTCTTGCCCATGCAGTGAAGAATCAAAGGTCAGCAAACTGATTGGTGTGCAAGCAGGGTTTATTAGGGATATGTTCTCAGGTGGGAGAGAGGGAGAGAGAGAGAGAGGGAGGGGGGAGAGAGAGAGAGAACCAGAGGGTGAGAGGGCGAGAGAGACAGAGAGCGAGAGAGAGCAAGACAGCAGAGAGCCCTTGTCCCAAGGACTTACAGTGTGCTGGGTGGACTGAGGGAGTTACATATTGATTTGGTGGGAAAAGGTGGTTGTGACCTCCTAAGATGGGTGGAGGTCTGTNCGCGCGCAGGTGCCCGCGATGGAGGCGGCGGCGCGCAGCTCGGGTGGCCCCGCCCATCAGGCCCGGAGGCGGGGCCTACAGGCGGCACTGCTGCCCCCTGCAGCGGCGGCGGCGGCCACAGGTGAGCGCGATTTGTTCACGTTCTGGTGGTGGTGGTGGTGGTGGCAGCGGTGGCCCGCGCCCCGCGCAAGATCGCGAGTCGCGCCGCGGTGCCTCCTTTGCTTTCCGGCGTGAACTGGCGCTCTTCCCGCCTCCGCGGGTGACTCCCCTCCCCCCACCTCGAGGCCCAGCTTCTGCTGTCCTCATCTGCCCCCAGTTCTCGGGCTTCAGCTCTCCGGAGCCTTTGCGCCCTCTGTACCTGGAGGACTTGGGAGGTTTCCCAGAGTGTTTTTCTGAACACTGTCGGAGCTTTGGCCACAGACTTTTCAGTAGTTTTAGTGGAGGGCAGGATTAGTTCCTTTAACATCCTTTTTACCCATGCGTGGAGCCCCCACCCTTCCTGTCAGCCCCTCATCCCCCATGGCACTAACACAGTGTCTTGCGCAAAGAATTTTGCTTGATGGCTTTCTGCTATTACTGTAAAGGTAGCCAGTGCCTCTGTTTGTCATCAGCGTCCCACCTACCTTTAAAAGCAGATGCTTTTTACATGGGAATGTTAGTTAAGAGCTGGTTTGGGGACGCTCTAATTGTTGGCGGGCTGTCGCGTTCTCCAGAGGTACCCTCTGACATCTGCAAAAGCAGGCTTTCACCACTGGATGTAGTGGTTCAGCAAAAGGCACGTGATAAGTGGTTTGTGAAATGTATCCTTTTGGTAATCTCATTGCAGTTAAGTGCTTGCCGGAAGTCCGCCCAAAGCAGTGCAGAAGCGCTCAGCAAAGATTCAGTCTGCAGAAAATTTCTATTGGGACGGCCACCGACTGCAAAACAAAGTTTCTATAGAAACAGCTAGAGGAAGAGAACGCCAAGGTTTAAAGTGGTCACACTTCACTTTTTGGTGGATCATTAAACATTTGGCCCAGCTTCTCTCAGGGTGAAGGGAGGTTTTTTTGTGTCCCCCCCCCCCCCCCCCCGTTCTTTATTTAAAACGCTGTTGCAATCAGGAAGACAGCTTAGAAAAGCCTGTCTTTTTATTTGTTTGGATTTCTTGACATTAGGATCATGAGTAAAACCACACTGGAACATGAACTGAGTCCATTTTGAACATCAGAAATACTTCTTAGAGGTTTCACTCAACAGCAAGACTTGTGAATGTTAAAGAGAACTTGGAATCAAATTATGGCTTAAAGTAAAATCCCCCCCCAAAAAAAAAACAATAGAGGAAGTGAATTGAAATGTATGTGAAATTAGCAGTTATTTACACAAACAGCTAACCAAACTCTGCAGGCTGCTCAGAATAACCAGGCCTTCCTAGTATTACACTAAGATGTGTAATACTTTCATCGAAACTCCTTTGTCCGCCATCTCTTTCCATCGAAACTCCTTTGTCCACCATGTCATTGTCTGGCCTCTTCAGGGAGTTTGTTGCTAATGTGTCCTTTTCACATTTAAGTGTTGCAATAAAGCCCATATAATTCTGTGTTAGGGTGAGATGCAATTCTTAGTAAACTGTAAGACACCCAACAGATGTTTGCTACTCTTGTAATTTTTAGTAGCTGCACAATAAGTCACTCTGATACTTAGCC